ATTATTATTATTATTATTATTATTATCGAATGAGGCATCTACGTATAGACCCTATGCAGGTGGGCGTGTCGTTGTGCGGCTGACGTCATCGGGAAGTGACGCGCTCTATGCGCCTTTCTAGAGCCATTGATCACAGTGTTGTTCCTAATTACATTCGAGTAAATTACACCACTGACTGTATTTACTCATCTAAACATAGATTTCAGATCATTTGGCAGAAAGCAGTTGTAACCCTCTGACAGTATTTCTGGTGTTTAGAGGAGAGTCTGATGTGAATCAGGAGAGTGATGCTCAACATCTCTGACTTCTGTGCTTTTATATGTTTTTGTCTCTGAGGTGGGCTGATCTATTTGGTTAAATATAACTAACTAATTCAGACGAGATCCAGCTGTAACCGCTCAATAACTCTGCTGCTGTAAACGAGAACTACACGACTAACACAGGAGAGACAGCCTCTCATTTTCATAGCTACATCTCTTTAATTCATTGGCTTTATGCCAGTCATTTGACGCGAACATCACGAAGGAGGTCTTTAATAAAGCCTGTGACAGTCTCGCGGCTGATCTTCGCCTGGGAACACAAGCTGAAGATCTGTCACAGCGAGACCTCGACCCTCAAGTCGATCTGAAAAGTCTAACCCTTCAGTAAAACAGACGAGAGCGGGTCATCCTAAAACATGGTCACTTCTCTAAGAAGCCATCAGTAAAGCCAGCAGATGTCTGCTGCAGCTGCTTGTCACACTGTAGGAATCCCCAGCATGAGCTCACAATCACATCTGCTGCAGTACTTGGTTTTTAATGTACTGAAGTATTAAAAGTACTGATCGGTGACTGTTTTTGTCAATTTTAACTTAATAATAATCCTTAATAATAATATAAAGGATTATATAATCCTACTGCTCAAAATACCTACATATATAAAATACACGCGTGTGTGTGTAGAGCATTTATTTTTATAGTATAAGGGACAAAATGATGAATGTAGTGAAATAAGTCAGTTTCTCAAAATAAAAATACTCCGATAAAGTACAGATACTTGGAAAATTTACTGAAGTACAATAAGTAAAAAAAAAATACTTTGTTACTGTCCTCCACTGCCATTGTTTCCAGTAGAGGAACATTCGCCACAGAGCCAGCAATACTCGCTGTGAACAACCTCAGGTTTACTAGAGCGCTAGACTAGGAAACAAGAAGAGAACACTGTGTGAGTGCATTAGTTTAGGCTTGGAGTGCTTAAAGACAGGCTTTATCCTCTGATCTGATGAGGTTTGCAGCTCATTCTCCAGAGCAGCAGCTTAAAGAGGATCTGTGACTCAGACGCTTTGCTCAGAACTTTCTTACACTGTATGATTATTCAGGCTTCTTACAGCCGTATTAGCCTGAACCTTTGCTTTAAAGCAACAATATATTTATGTTTTGTGATATACAATTATTCTATTGCATGTAATGTATTGTTTACTGTGATATGAATGTGATTTTATGTGTATGATAATTACAGATTCAGTCTGTTCCACTGCAAGGAAAGTCATACGGGTTTGTAACAACTTGAGGGTCAGAATACACTATAAATAAAACAAAATCAATGCAACACTTTGATTATTTATGTTTTATTTATGATTGTCTGAAAGTTTGTGGCACATAATTAGAAAAAAACAATCCCAACTGCATAAGCCTTAGTGCTGAACAGAAGGTTTGAGGGGTCTGTGCAGGTTTAGCGCCCAGTGTCTTCACATCTCCAGTGTAACTGAGCTCAGTCGCTTCACTTCAGTTCAGTTCAGTTCAGTCCTCACAGCGTCTCAGAGGCGGTTGCGCGCGGGTCCTAACCCCGGCGGAGGGCCGCTGCACTGCGGAGGCTGCTGGTGATGTTGTGAGCGTCTGGAGCCGCGCTGATGCTGGGATCTGCTCTGCGTCCAGCGTTTCGGAGCCGGTAACGCCTCACACAGATGAGAACACGTGGTGATTCCGCAGAACAGAGCCTCATCGGCCTGCGAGGAGCCCTCAGAGCTGCCGTCGGACATCACGTCTCTGCCGTCTGGACGAGGGCCCGTCTCCAAACCCAGAGGACCAATGGTGGTCTGGGGAATCCCGTCTGCGAGCGGTGGAGCGGCCAGCGTCTCTGGACCTTTGCTGAGCTTCACTTTGTGTTTCTTCTGTAAGAAATAGAAGCTGACTGTAAAGATTTTGCAGTTTTCCGGGTTTATTACACCTAAAAACCAAAGTCTACAACAATGAATGCATCAACAATGAAACACCCGTCGTACTTTTCTACTAACTTGACAATCTTCCCACTGCTTAAAGCTGTTGGTTTCTCCTGAACCGCCTGAAATTAAGAGCAACAATAGCCAGAGTTTTACATCCACAGCAGGAAAAACATGTTTGTCTCTGTAAACTTCACTGCCAACAGTGTGTCTGATCTCTAAACAGCACAGTATCTCAACACACACGATCTGATGAGGTTTGATCACAGCACTATCTGAATGCATCATGAACTCACCATCAGGCGTCTGGAGGGACGAGAGTGACGGCGGATCAGAGGCTCTGCATCTCAGCAGCACGGGTTCATCATTAGACAGCTCTCTGGAAACACAACATCACATGCTCATTCAGACACAGATCACATCAGTCCTGCAGCAGGAGCTCGTCACTCACACACACAGCTGCTGGACTTTAAACCCCTGACGGAAGCGCTCGTCTCCTCACCTCTCTGGGCAGCAGGATCTCTGGGAATCGACGGCAGGACTCTCTGATATCTGACGGTAGTTCACACAGATCAGCAGCCATAGAAGAACACAGAGAAGCAGACACAGCAGGATGTAGCTCTGCCTGTCAGACACCTGCAGAACACAGCAGCAGCATCATCACCATCATCATCACCATCCTCATCATCATCACCATCCTCATCATCATCACCATCCTCATCATCATCACCATCCTCATCATCATCACCATCCTCATCATCATCACCATCCTCATCATCATCACCATCCTCATCATCATCACCATCCTCATCATCATCACCATCCTCATCATCATCACCATCCTCATCATCATCGCCATCCTCATCATCATCGCCATCCTCATCATCACCATCCTCATCATCATCATCGCCATCCTCATCATCATCACCATCCTCATCATCATCACCATCCTCATCATCATCGCCATCCTCATCATCATCGCCATCGCCATCCTCATCGCCATCCTCGCCATCGCCATCCTCATCATCATCGCCATCCTCATCATCATCACCATCCTCATCATCACCATCCTCATCATCATCGCCATCCTCATCCTCATCATCATCGCCATCACCATCATCCTCATCATCATCGCCATCCTCATCCTCATCATCATCGCCATCCTCATCATCACCATCCTCATCATCATCATCATCGCCATCCTCATCATCATCACCATCCTCATCACCACCATCCTCATCATCATCGCCATCCTCATCCTCATCATCATCGCCATCCTCATCATCACCATCCTCATCATCCTCAGCTCTCAGCCACAGACGTCTCATTCATCCATCTCTGTTCATAAAGTGCTGTCATTTCTGAACAGAGCTGCACAGTCTATCAGCAGTCAATGTGTTATCGGCTGATAGCTGGGAAAATTCAGTTATAATCAGCTTTCCCCGATAAGGAAATTTGCACTGTTATTTTCAGCGATAATTTCTTCTGGTAAATTTGTGCTAACAGAGAATCTGTTATCTCTCATGAAAATCACTTCAACATCTTTGCACTGCAATGCATTCATTGTTAGCTCATTTTAATCATAATCATCTGCTGTAAATAAAGATATGATATTTTAAATATTCTGTTATGCATCAAAATGAAACATGGTCCAAAGATGTTGAAATGATCCTCAGAGCGACACGAGACACAAAACACTAGTGTAATATCATTTAATAAAGCAGCATAATATCTGTTATACAGTCACACTGCTTCTGGTGATCAGTTTTTAATTAAAACAGCAGCTTCATTTCAGTCAGTGATATCGATGGATCTCTGTTCCTGCAGGCTTCCTGCAGAAGTGTTTTGTGATTATTAACCGACAGTGAACAGGCTGATCACCTCTCGCTGCAGTCGACTCACACTGACAGACAGACGGAGCACGAGCTGTGTCATGTTCTCCAGCTGAGCCTGCAGAGCCTGGATGGAGTCCGTCTGCCTCTGATCCTGAAATCACAGCATACACACGGCTCAGAGAAACACAGAAACATACGACACTGAGACGGAGAACAGAGTCCAGTGTGCTGATGCCGATCTTCACGTCATCATGTCTAAACAGACTCTCCACAGGAGGAACCTGGACTGAACAAACTAATCCAGATTTGTTTGAATGAATTTAGACTCGAGACGTCTCTGACCTGCTCCTCAGCCATTCTGGAGGTGTTCTGAAGCTTGATGATGGTTTTGTTAAAGGCTTTCTGCATCTCCTCCACCTGCTTTCTGTATCTGGACCAATGAAACACAAGCAGATTCACTAAAGGGAATAAATAACCAAAATCTCATATCACATTAACGGTATACATTACAATAGAGTTATTCTGAGTCTCAGTGGGACACACCTTTGGCTCAGCTGCTCCAGGTAGCGTCCGCTGAGCGACATGTTCATCTCCAGCACCTTGATGCGATTGTTGAGCCTCATGAAAACAGACTCTTTCTGATTGGAGCCGTGTGCGTGCACGTCGCTGGAGTTCTGCGTTTCTGTGTAGATCTGCTCAATATGAGCGCTGCTTTCATCATCGAAGAGCTCCTTGCGTTTGGACTCTGCAGACCCTGTGAACCCGTCTGAGGGATGAACGGGATGATCCGGCATCAGCGCTCCACCGGGGACCGCTGGTTCATCCACAAGAGCGGATACAGAGGAGAGCTGAGACTCGTCTGCTGTATTCATGGAAACAGTAGGAGTTGAAATGTCATTTTCAAGGCTGACCTGCTCTGATGAGACCGACAGCAGCTCACGAGCGACCTGATCTCTCCTCAGTGCAGCAGAGGTGGTCATGATGTCTGAGAGCGTCTCAGGATTGGGTTTCTCACTGGACTCACTCAGACCATCAGTGCTTTGCTGAGGAACTGTGGCTGTAAGGCACTCGGTGGCAGACGGACACATCAGCTCAATGGGCTGCGTCGCTCTGGAGGACAGAGAGTCAGCAGAAACCAGCCTGAGCAGATCTGAAGTCAGACTGGGAGCAAGATCTCTGGCGTGAATGACAGGACTCTCCGGCTCCTCTGTGACTGTGGATATAGCTGGGGTCATGACGGCTAGAGCAGCGTGAGAACGCGAGCTCGGCTTCCTCTTCTGGATAAAGTCTGGAGAGGAGCAGCGCTGCAGAAGGTGCTCTTGAAGCGAGACTCTGTGTGAATGGGAGCAGGAAGATTCAGAGTGCACTGTGTTTTCATTCACATGATCCGTTTCAGACTCGTCTGTGATTCTCCCAGAGGACCGATCCGGCTCGTCCTCGGCGTCGGGCAGCAGAGTGACGATCTGCTCTACGTCAGGCGTGGTTTGGACCGGAGCGTCTCCAGCAGCGTCAGTGAGCGGCGGGGTGCGTGCCGCTGCCGTCTCTTGAGTAATGCTGGCAGTTTCTGTGATCCCGACGACATCAAGCGGATCCGCCGCCACAGTCAACGGCCTGAACAGAGAAAACACCTTTAGCTGTGCTACATGAACAGGTCAATCCTGCACCGCACGGCGGGTTCTGTCGGATCAGTGCGTCATATCTGTCAGCATCTGGTGCTGTGGGTCGGCGTTCGGTAATCAGTACTGTAATCGGTCGACTGTCACCGATGGTCTGCGTCTGTCTGTGCCGTGTGAATTAGCCTCAACATGGTGCATTAACATAATATGATGTAATATGGGCTAGGCTCCAATATTTACACTAACCAAATGCAAAACCCAAAAGTAAAAATAGGCTTCAAGTTGAGTTTTGATCGACTGTCGATCCATAGATTCTGCTTCGTCACAGGTTAAGAGTCTGGGTGTTGTCCTTGATAGCACAACATCCATGTTAATAACTGGCTCTGTATATTTTCATTTACATAACATCAATCATCTTCGTCCCTCTCTTACATCATTCTCACACATATACTGGTCACTGATTACTGCAATGCTCTCCTCTCTGGTCTTTCTTCTAAACTTCTTGATAAACATCAGCTAGTCCAGAATTCAGCTGCATTAATTATTTCTAGAATTCCCTGTATTGAACACATTTCTTCAACACTTGCACTGGCTTCTGGTTCAGTATAACTGATGTTGATTTTTACCTACAAGGCTCTCAGTAATCTGACTCTGCTCTCTGATCCTCGTACTCTTAGATCTTCCTCATTCACTGTTCTCGTTCAATCATGTATTCGTCTGAACACTATGGAGACTTTAGTTCTGCTGCCCCTCATTTATGGAATTCTCTGGATATTAGAAACAGTGTTAGTCTTCATACTTCTAAATATCATCTCAGAACTCACCTGTTTATGACTGCGAAAGACTATCCTCCAGTGTCTGCTTATTATATTATAGTATTGTAATGTTGTTAGTATTGAAGTTTTCTAGGATGATATTTGTGATAAGATTGTAAGGTGACCTTGACTGCTGTGAAAGGTGGCTATTAGTGTTGTCACGGTACCAAAATTTCAGTATTCGGTACGATCGGGGTGTTTTGTTAGTTTGATGTGTTTCCTCCTCTTGAGGTCGCCACTGCTTTTATGAAGAGGTTGCCAGGTTTTCACAACAAAACCCGCCCAATCGCGTTTCGAGGGGTCCCCCGTTAAAAATCCCGTTCCGAGGATAAAATATGCATGTTTTGGCGGGGTTCCCCTGGTAAAATTCGCATTCCAGGGGCTAAATATCATGCTTACATGTGTCCTGCAGAAAGTTTCCCAGAAAGAACCACTACATGAAAATGTGAGGAACGAACGTGTGAAAGGTGCCACTTCAGAGACAAATATTGAAAATAACATCACTAAAAATAAAGCAAAATATGATTTCATGTCTGTCACGTACCCAGTGGATGCAGCGGTGTGGATCGATCCAGGAGGGAAAACCACTTCTGTCATGTTTAAGCCTTCAGTGGAAGCTTTTCCTGAAAAACAGAAACACACTCTCATGATGAACAGACGTGTTATTAGGTGACATCAGGAGGAGGTGAGGCGGGATCAGACCTGCTGTGGTCTCTGGAGGTCCCCCCAGCACACTGGCAGCAATGTTGTTGACCATAGTGAGAAGAGCATCTGAAAGCACAAGACATCATCAGTTTATCCCAGCGGTCCAGTTTATCCTCAGGATCTCACACACAAACACAGCTGTGAATGATGATCTCACTGACCTTTGGCAGATCCGATCAGGTTTTTGGAGGATTTCTCATCTACTGGCACAAAATCAGGAGGCTGATCTAAACATTCAGACAGAGATACGACACTGTTGATGCACCTCTGACACCACCTTCAGACTGAAACAAACACCAGTTTTCCTGCAGACAGTGAGCGTTACCGTAATCATGCTCATCTTGAACGTGCGTCTGTCTGTCTGATGGCTCGGAGTTCATCTCATACTCCTCCATCATACTAGTGCCAAAAACCCTTCAGAAACACAGTGAGAGGCACAGAGATTGTCAGCATTCACTATTACTGTCAATCACACTGTCACTCAATGAAAGGTCGAGGTCTGTTCAGAGCAGCATCAGTGAGTGTCTGAGTGAGTTTCATCAGACCTGATCAGACTGAGAGGACAGAAATGTTCTGAGCCGAAGTGTGACAGCAGCTCCACCTGCAAATAAGACAATACCTCACTTATTCATGTGCGTTCAACAGAGCAGCATTTCAAATCACACAAACATCTGAATGTTAGCTTTAATCGTCACTTGCTGTCAGCTGTAAAGATCAGCATCTGAAGCAAAACCAGGCTGAGATCAAACGAGAGAAAACAGCACAGACATTCACACACATTTCACTCATCTGTGATGCACTGGTGACGTAACTCATGGAGAAACCTGCTGGGCTGATCTGTCTAACCCTAACCCTAACCTAAGCACGAGGACTCAACTACAGGGATTGAGCACCTACAAAATGTTGACCTGCTGCTATGAACCATGGGATGGCATTACAGTGTCAAATCACAGAAGATGAGCTTCTAAGGAAGTGTGTTCAAACACCAGTCCACTCAAAGCATTCATCCACTCAGAGTAAAGAGAGAACGGCTAACCTTAATGTATTTGGTGAATATCTGATGAAACGGGAAGAGAAGAGAGAGAAGGAGCTGAGACGAGGTGCAGACTCCACTGACCTCACACTCTCGCTTACCTTGATGTATTTGGCAAACAGATGCTCATCCAGAGGAAAACTCTGCACCGTCCGCTCATCTCGCGCATGAAACGTCCCGAGCTTCACCCACTTTTTGTTTGGATATCTGAGTACAAACAAGTTCTGAAACTATCATAAACATACACATACAAACAGATGTGCTGCATGTCAACTAAAAATGTTAAACTACAAAAATGGCATTACAAAACATTTTTTTAATGAAATTCAAAAATAAAAAAGTAAATACATAAATAAAGATATAAATAAAGAGGCAGTCTGTAATAGAGCCCATAAGTGCTGACCTGTCACTGATTGAGACTAAGAAGTCTTTGGGGTTTGAGGAGAAGATCTCAAAGTTAGCGATGTCCAGCTGCTTGACCTGAATGGGCTGACAGAGCTCAATGATGAACCTGTGCAAACACAACGATGAAGACCACAGAACTTCTGCTGAAATCACCCATTTAACCACTGTATTTTTAAATTAACTCAATTTATTGAGACAAAAAATATTTTTTTGTTTTAACAGTCAAAAACAAAATAAAAATTAAACAAATATCTAATTTCTACTGTTTTATATGCAGATTAAATAGGTTAAACTTTTGTCTTGTCTCCCGAGGCCACAGGAGGGCAAAATGAGCAAAATAATGCAGCACATTTAAATTGTCAATGCAAGGAAATAAGTCTATAAAAAACGTGCATTACGTCTAAATTAACTCATATAAATCAAATATAATTGCGTAAATTGCATAAACAATTATGAACAAAACAGCATCATGTATTTATGCATTGCTTAATCCAAAGAGCCGAAGCGCCGATCACACAGATTGCATTTAAAAACATGAGACGCAGTGAAAAGCAATAAACCTCCACAAATTTGCGACGTGTTTTCTAAAAGTTTAAACTGTTTTAACTTTGCATGGCTACATCTCTTGTGTGAGACGCGAGTGCAGCAGTCGTATTTGTC